GTAGGATGACTAATAAAACAACATCTTTTGGGCAATATTCGACTTTATTCATCAACAGAGTCTCCTTCAAGAGTGATAGATTCATTCCAACGCTTCTTTAACATTTGCTGTCCATTCAGCTGATGAACAATTTGACACTGGAGTGTACTGGTGGATCCAGGTTTCATCCATTATCACATACAGCATGAAAAAATAATTTTTACAAAGTTTATCAAAGTTTTTATTTTGCTTCAATACCTCCAACTCGGAATCATCAACTCGTTGTTGTTTTTAGTCCACTTTGACCTAGAACGCAGTACCCATTTTAAACAGAGCTTCCTCATTATCAAATGTTCATGCAAAATGTTGAATACATTGCTTTCTCTAGCTATCTCACGCAACTTCAATTGACTATCGGCCAAAACCATTTTGTGGACTTTTTGGGCGTCTTAAGGTTGGTACTTCCTAAAAACCATATGAGTTCGTCGAAAGAGGCGTCATCTATATGTCATCCTATGAACTTATTGAGTGAGGTGTTATATGTTCACTTTGGATCATTTTTTATGAACAATCAGGTGGTAGTACAATTACAAACGTCGACTAGTAACATATTATTGATAACTTCTTAGATTTAAGTAATACATATGTATAACCTATTGTACATACTAATTGCAAGGAAAATCATATTTTGTGTAAGGAAATCAATTAATAAATATTTAATAGCATATTGCAGAATCATATCCAAAAATTAATTAATATTCGAATCTATGTATAGGTAATCTTTCCCGGTGGAACCTATCATTTAAGTATATAAAAAAAATGTTCCCAATTTTTTTAGAATATATTTTTATTTTACTTAATTCAAATTCTTTATTTTGAATTTTTCAAATCAGTACTAAAGAAAGATAGTGGTATTGCTGTATACGTAATATTTTATGGTAATTTGAATCTTGTAACAAGACTCTCTCTACATAATATACTAAAAAACAGCAATGTCCATTTTATATTGAACAAATGCACACTAGATTTTAATTAAGTAATATACACCCATCTTTGCATTTTGTTTTACGTACTTTTAAAGGTTACGTTGTAAAACATATAAGACAACATTTTCATTTAAGTCGTAAAATTCAACACTCGCATCGTTCTCAGAATTAGTTTTTTTTTGTGGTCACAATCTTCTTTTGGCAGGAGCCAACATTTCATTTTATAAAATATAACAAATTCCATTACAATAAAGTTTACGAGAAATGTATCGTTTTTTTTTGTAAAAACAAACAAACTGTGATTATTGTAATTAATTTTATTATTAATAAAATTAAGAAAAGTTATTTAATTAATGATTACATATTAATGTTTGATTGTATCTTATTAAAAAAAAACTACAACAATATCTCAAGATAAATAATTTTGAGTACTAATTTTTGAGAATTTATTTTTATTTTCTTAATTGAAAATTAGTATACTTTTTTAAACCATACTATAAAGCATTGGTCCACACCCCCGGTACCCGTCCGTGAATTAAATGGTACCGGGTCCCCAATGAACATTAAATTATTTCCATTTTATTTGAACTCACTAGTATCTAGCGAGCCGCGGTAAATTAGCGAACGTTGACCGGTCCGCGGCGATAAAAAGGTTGGGGAGCACTGCTATAGAGAATCGGAACTGTTTGAAGGCAGATTATGTGAGTTATTGCTGTCTTTAAGTCTCTTCTAAAAAAGTTGTTTTTTTTTTGTTATATAAATCGTATATTCTTGCATGCTTTTAACAACCATAGTCGCTCATTAGCAAACAATAAAAAATAATTGAAATCTGAATCCTTAAGATTTTAATTATTTTCGTTGTTTCCAATTCCGATTAATCACATCATTTCCGCTACAGCAATCAATATGATAAAAAAATATAATTATTCTACAATTAACCGAATGAGAAACAATAGGTAAAGTATCATAAAACAATGAAAAAAACATAAACCTTATGTATAAACATTATTCCAATACGCGGTAGTAATTACAGCAGGACGCCGTAATCAATTAAACGTAACGTTTCCGTGGAAAAAAATCCAATATATATGTGACTGAATTTGTTTAGCATTTAATTGATTTATTCCAGTAGGTCAGACCCTTTTTTTTTCAATATGATATTTGTTTCATGTATATCAACATGTTTTCCACTTCACTTCTTTTTTCCGCCTTCTTCCGAGAGTTACGTATTATATGGCCATAATCCGATCATTCGGGACACCTGTACAACTTGATGACTTGACAACTTTCTTGTCCTTATTACGCTTGGTGAGCTTTCTGTTCCCCCAACCGATGAAATGCAGCACCTAACCCACACACTCAGATGTTCAATTTTGTTCTCCCGTGAGGTTCAACATTTCTCTATTCTTTCATATATAAAAGTAACGAAAACCACGAGAAAAAGGAATGCTATCTTGACCTATTTTTAAACACGAGTCTTTTACACCATCTTCTTTGTCAGAGTTTCAAAGGCTATATCAAACAACACTAGTAGAAGTTTTATCCATTACGAACTTATTAAAAAATAAATTTGCCTGCAATTTACTCTTATCTGCAAATATGAAAACTTTGACATTTGTCTGGATGACATTAGTTATTTTCTATGTCAAAATTAAAGTTGACGCATCTGAGACGTTTGTAAACAAATAATGAACATTCTATCATTATGCTCGTAAGAACATTTTTAAAGAAAATGAGGATGAAATTGGCCAGTTTCAAAAATACAGAATTATATTTCGAAATAACCATAAATATATATATAAATTGATTGAATATTGTAATATTGTAAAAATGCAATAGAATAATTTATTTATTAAACCAATAAAGAAGAAATATATATTTAGATATAAAATATAATCAGTATTTACACAGTTAATCGAATTTGTCTTTAATTTAATTGTTTTCATTAATTTATATGGTTCTATTACAGTAAATATTATTATTAAATAGACATGTGAGCTTTATTAGAATTATTATATAATCATATCAGCATAATACAGCAACTTGTTTCTTTTTATTCTTCTACGTTGTAAAGATGTTTATGTTGTAGTCGATTCTCTTTACTTGAAAGAGAATTGACTACTATATATAACAAAATAGATTATATTTTTATCAAGCTTTCATTATATAAATAATGGTTAGATAAATAACTTTTATACATTTTTATTTTTCAAAACGTAATTTATTGTACCAACTCTTAACTGTACTATTTCAGCGCTAAATCTTCATGTTTTTTTAACCAAGCTTATTTTTATCATCGCCGTAAAACTCGCGCTTAACGGAATTGATTCTACAATTCATTCGGTTTTATTTACTTTTCCAAATCATCTTCCACGCAAAGTTCAACATTTACTTTAAGGAAGCACTTCAAAGTACACCTCCCCTTTTATTATCCAAGTTTTGTAAAACTCCGCTTCTATATAATTTCTTTTGTCCGATGAAAATACTTCTAATAAACCTCGATGTTATCTTACATACGTTATAGGGTTTATACAAAAACCGACATAAAAAAGACCGGCTTTCAAATCTCAGCTTTTCTACAAAACCGATTTAAACCGGTTTTCGAATTATCACAAAATAATAGAGAGAAAGGATTTTTACAACTCATTTTCTATTATAAAAACAAAACATAAAAAAAATCTATAATATTACATAAAACTATGACAATACAATTTTTCTTCAATAACTGCCAATAACAATATATTTCTATAAAATATTATTTTTTATATTATTGTTAAATATCATAATGTTTTAAAAAATGTTTCTATTTCACGTTCTTGTGTTTGTACCCTATAATATTAAAAACTCCTTTTTTAGGCAGGACTTCAGGTTCTTGAAGATATTTTATAAATTGATTTTTCTATTATGACCTGTTTTCCATCTCGTTTGAAAATTAACAATGAGACTTAATTCTTTCCCAATTTCTTTATTAAACAAACGATTTTGTGTTAAAATGTTTATGTTTTTAATCAAATAATTAACTATGTGAGCCTAGATGAAAAATATTAGGCTCAGAAACCTTTTTTTTTAGTTGAAAAATTAGGATATTTTTTTATGATTAATTTTATCAGATAAGAATGAAAAGTGTTATCAATTATAAAAAGATCATGTATTTTTTTTAATTACTGTTGGAATTTTCGAGAACATAAATATTATGGTACGCTTCGGTAATTAAGAAAGTAAATGAACAAATTAAATTAATTATATACAATAAATTAAATCCATTGTATTTGTATTCTACTGAAATAATTTTAGCCTGTAAGAAACGATAGATTATAAATAAAAATTAAATAAATATAGTTTTGAATGACAAGAAAACTATACGTTTTGTAAAATAAATGATTTTTTATTGTTATGAAATATTTAAGTAAAAAAATATTTTTTGAATACGAGAAATATTTTACGGCAGAAACATAGGAGATCATAAATTTGATTTTATTATCAAAGTTGTTGAAAACTACGAAAAATCAAAAAGTCATTTAATGTAAATTATTGAATAATTCAATTCGAAATTATATCTTTGTAGAATTTTATTACAGGATGTGTTATGTTTTACAGCGCTTTGTTAAGAATTTGTATTGAAATTGAAAGAGTAATCAAATGAGGAAATAAAATTATAGACATTTAAGATTTTTAGTTATATAAAAAATGTATTCATTTTATATAATAAATTAAATTTATTTTGAGTGAAGAGAGAAAACCGTTATGTATGATATGTGCATTGTTTGTATGAAGTCTGATGTGAAAAGGGCGTAACCATAATATGAAATGTAACTGGAAGAAACATATATATAAAGGAGCATGTGAGTGCGGATGGCCGAGGACGATATTTAGGGCCATTTATAGCGCACTCGAAGCCTGCGGGAACTTTTATTGCTGCAAGCGCTAATAATTCCTAGAGTAACCCGGCACCTCCACCTCGAACATACATACACCTCATATCTATAATAGTGCATTTCGCAATTTGCAATTACATTTGTAGGAAAATTTTAGTACCTGTGGGACTTGGAGTCATCTCTTGCATAACGGTGTGGACTTGCAGATCGTACTTCTTGAACAACGTGACAAACTTCCTCCTGAGACCGTTCTTCGCCGAAGTGGCTGCCTTGGTGTATTCGCGCGTACCGAAAGACTTGTACGGGACGACCATTCCGACGTGAAGTTGCGGTAAACCTCCTGAATACGTCGGAATGGACGGGGCTTGGATCTGTTCCTCCTCGGGAGCGACGGTCGTGGTAGTTGTCCTCACAGATCCTCTCGCCCCTTGCCCGAGTCTTAAACCATTTCCTCGGGCCGTCGAAGCGTTTTTAGATCCACCTAGTCCAATCTTTAAGCCACTTCCGCGTTGCACATTGTGATCTTTCCATCCGGGACCGCCGCTCACAACAACGGCTATGAGGACGGTTAAGAAGAATACAACGCAATGCATCTTCGTATTTATTAATACATAAGTACAAAACATAAGTTTATAACATCTTCAAATAGAATGAAATTGAAATTAGCGAAAAATATGAACTTGGAGCAAAGTCTCTTTACAATTTTAGATGTCCGGAATTAGCACTGAACGTCGGAGGATTGTTTTTAAACCGGTTTTAGAGCGTCCGGCTTTAATATTTTCTGCTCCAATTGTCTGACAAAAGTGGGAGTAACGGGTCTCCAAGGATCGACGGCGGCGACTACGAGAGTCCCTTTCTTCTTCAGAACCCTGACGTTCCGCGTCGCGAACGAATTGCAAACTGGCTACGAGCGAGCGGCGCTTGCAATGCGGAATTACGACGCCCGACAGCCTAGGCGTGCGCACTGCAACCTAACTTTTTGTATATATTATTTGAAATCAAGGCGTGAACGGTCCGAGAATATCAATTAGACAAGTTTAGAAATGAAAAACGTCCAATCACGACAAGCAAACAAAAAAAATGTGGGTTGGAGGATTCTGAGGAGTAATTTCAGAAAGATTGTAGGATTCATCTTCGGCTATTTCAAAAGCGGACGAGTCGTACAAATCATTTCTCCTTTTTTCTGTTCCAGCTGCAAAGATTGATTACCCACCGTGTAAAATCGTAATTGAAACTTTTTAACGTTTCTCGTTTAAACGATAAAATAAACGCCTGTTTGCATAACTCTAAAGTCTGTGACAGCTTTACATATTTCAAATCTGAAGAATCTTTAAAATGAATAATACTTTTAAATCAATCATTATAATTACTGAAAAAAACATTACTGATTTTTAATTATATACAGCAACGTCTTATACATTAGTCACTTTGTCTACGGTTCACGAGAATATTTAGGGCCTACGAGAAAAAAAAATATTGAAATTATAATTCAAGATTACATATTTTGTTATTTATTTAAATAATTATTAAGTACTTAAATATAATATGTTATAACATCGAAAATTAATTTTCCCTTTTAAAATGACTTAACTAGATAGTAATAATGTTTTGAACGAAGGACCAAGTTGCGCCGGTGAATGGAAGAAAATCGTTGTAGTTTCAAAGATTGTGTTTATTAATACATCTTACATCACATAACTATACAGTGGAACCTCGCTTAACGAGTTTAATCTGTTCCAAAATTTCCGGATTTTTACTCGTATAGTGAAACAGTTTGTCCCATATAAACTAATGTAAATTACGATAATGCATTCCATTGGTCTTGGTCTCGATTTTTCATGATTTTCATATCTATGGTTATTTTTTTAAAGTTTTGTTTATCATGTTGATGTTTGTTTTTAACTAAAGAAATAATATCCTATTATTAGGAGGCTTTTGTATAGTAGGTACAAAATTCAATAGTTAATTGGGTATTATCAAATACACTATATTGTATAATTGTGTAATGGTATTATAGAACAATTATACAATTTCCTTTATTTAAATTCATCCTAAACTAAATAATATATAATTAAATTGCTATTTCCTCTAAGAAGTATTCACTCTTTAAATATCATATACTTCAATATCCGCAATGTTTGAAACCGGACTAATAGAACTATAAAATCTCATAAAAATAAAAGGCATAAAAGATCTTGATTGCATAGATAGAAAAAAATATTTATTTTGCTTAGATAAAATTAGATAGTTTGTTATGAAATTTTAAACCGTACTATAGTGAAATCGCACTAATCGAAGCCTCACTATAAAAGATATATTTTGTTCTACTATTTGTATTTTAATAATATACAAATATAAAGATAATAAATAATAATATTAGCAACTTTCATATTGTACCAAATAATAATTTATAAGTAAAAACTGAGCCTTTTTTTCTATTATTTTTTTGATAAAAATGATACAATTTAGAAATTCTAAAATAGCACGTATCTATTAAATCAAATAATTCTAATATTACCATTAGTGCATATGTTGGTGCATATTCTACTATCATGAACAAACAACAGTTGCACACATTGAAATTCCCAGCTGTTAGATACATAAATCAAATTGATTGAATCAGGACCTCCGTTTCACGAAAAATTTAGGCCGTAAATGCTAAGACCTATCCTAAAATATCCTAGGGGAGTAGGGTTTCTCAATCGATGCACTACTCTTTTTTTCAAATAAGTTTAAAAAATATTTTGTGTTTCCATCACAAATAAGTTACTTCATATCGATTAGTCCGGTTTCAAACAATCCAGCATATTGGCTGAATCGATTGTCCGAATTATATGTGATAATACAGTATTATAATATCATTTTAGGTTTTACTTTACACACACTTAATAAAGCAGCTCTAGTTTTTTTATTTCAACACCTGAATTCTGAAACCACCTATATTTAAGTATTTCTTCCTACATTCGTGGTATTTATGTATTCCGTGCACATTCTACACGTTCGGAAGCGTCGTAATCTGCACATATGTGTTGTTATGTAATATCTTGTGCAATTTAAATGTCACATCAGAACCTTGACATTCGTTTCCTGCGAAAACAAACGGCCTTATTATAAACAATTAACATTTGTAAAACAATCACGAATGCAAAATATCATACACGTTTCGCGCTTACAGAGAAAATTACCACAAAAAACATAAGTATATTTTAGATGTGGAGGATGTACCTAAAATAGACGCCTTTGTCGAAAAATATTGAGTATAAAATACGTCCTATACCATACTTTCTGTTTCAAATTAAGGTCTCCAAATTGTGTAATCTTCGGATAAAAATTTACAAAGAAAAGTATTGATTTTAAACTCTTCAAATGAAGTAAGCCAATATTGAATAATCAAGAAACGAATGGAGTTGAAAGTAAATTAGTTTGAAATTGACGAAGAATGGAATTTACTACCCGTTGACAGTTTTCATTTGCAATTATGAGATTAAATGCACAGAATATGATTAAATATATGATAAATATAATTTATAATATCATATTATTTTAATGTTTCTTTAAAACGAAATTATAAATGTATGACTGTACAATTCAATGACTTTGTAGCAAAGCAAGTCTTATTTTCTTATACAATTTTAACCTTTTCAAAATCAATGTTACGGAAATTTTATATTTTTTTTATTAATTAACATATATACGTTCGATTTTTGTCAATTTTGGTTCTCTAGATAAGTTTCCAACCGAATTACAGACGAGTATCCAGATACCAAAATAGTTGTAGTTAGTATAGTTTTTAAATTAATTTTCACTTATGCCGTTTTATCTCTAAAAAAATACAACTCAAACTAACCCAAAATTCTTACATTCATTAATGTAACCTCTTCGTAGTCATTAAGCCTAACCTTAGGCTTCTAATCCTAAATCATGGTAAAAGTACAGTATGCTAACTTTGATATATTCTCTTAGGTGATGCTTCAAGTTTCAGACAAAAATATAAAATTGTTGTTTGTATTTTTTTATAGATTTTAAAATTTTTAATGAAAATAGTTATGTTTCTTGCTTTAATTTACTTAAAATTTCATTCCAAGCGTATATCTTTAAGTTTGAATCAAACATTCTAACAAAAAAAATCATTATAATGGCAACTATCCACCGGGAAAGATTACTTACCTGATGCCAACCCCGATCTTAAATTTACTCAATGTTCATATTGATAAATAAATTGTAAATAAAATTATACGACATAAAAAAAATATAATATAAGTGGAACAACTTCAACTTATAAACTAATTTAGTATACTATACTTTATAAAATCCTATAAATCATCTAGAAAAACTGCTGAAAAGTAACTTTTCTCTTTCTAAGTTTTAGTCATTATCATTTTTAAAGTATACTTTAAAATTGCATTGAAAATCAAACTGATGCTCTGCTGAAAAAATATTTTAGTACATATAATACTGAAACTGGATAATCATTATTTTTGTAATTAGCCTTATCAAGTAACGTAGGTTGTAGACCATGAAAATCGATTTTTATAAACGCTCGTTTCTCTGCCTTAACCATTTTGCGACGACATTTTTTACAGGCCTGTTGAACACATTTTTATATTAGAAAAAAAACATCAAGGATATGAGGGGAGTAGTAGTAAGTACTATTAACGCAATAGAAAACTAAGTGGCTGTGAACGAAATATAACCTGATAAAATACAACATATTTTTTGACCTGACATAAAACTGAGTGGTACATATATGTATCAGTAGTCTCGAAAGATTTAATGGTATAATATTTATAAAATATATTGAATCAATGATTTATGATCTGAAGTCTTAGAAAAAAAAACTAATAATATATCAAGTATAAACTTTAATTTTATCAAAGTGAAAAAAGTGTATAATACATTTAATCAAGGAATGTGTCATCACAATTACGTCAAGTTTTGTAAATAAGGTTTGTCTGTTTTATCGTGAACTAAAAATCAATACTTAATGAGCAATCTATTTTTTTCTTTCTCTCCTCGGGGTATAATACAGTGGCGACGTCTTTTATATTCCACAGAACGGAGAATCAGCACAGAAGGGCAAGAAAGGCAAGCGAAACCCCATGGTAAACTCATTCCGTGCCATTACTCTAATGCCTTTTCAGTTGTAAACAATGCTTTCCTGAGGCGAACATTATATTGAGAAAAATGACTTCCCCCGACTATTTACTAAATAACGCGTACGTCGCGCTGCCCATTGTGTGCTTCTGCCACACAAAGACGTCAATGATCTTGAAGAATATTCGTCTATCACGAACTAAATTGAGAATAGCTGCTGCTAATCTCATGATATATAGTTGAAGTTTATGACCTTATATAAAACAAATAATTGTTTTTAAATTAAAAAAAAATGAAATAATTTACAAAATATGACGATTATTGAAAAATAGTTAGTATAAGATAGATAGACTGCTGTTAATATGGATGTTGAAGTATGTACACTAGGGGTGTAAAGCAAAAAATCTGATATATTAATATAAAGTTCGCTCTTATATATATACCAATGTTTTGACTTCGGGCGCCGCAAACCCGTAAAAGTTTGGGAACCCCTGATTATTTATAATTATTTTAGTAACTATAATTTTATTTAAAATTGAAGGTAACGAAATTGCTTTTTACATTTTTTACAATTGTTTAAGCCTCTTTAGTTTATTGAAAGACATATATTTTTCTATAATTTATATGAAATACATTCAGTAAATTATATTAACGTTTGACACACATCAAATTCACAACGTACCTACAACAGTATAAGATATTTCGTAAAAGTTTTCTTTACTTTTCATCATTAATAAACTATTATTTACGGTTCTAGTGTAGTTTTGAAACTATGTTTAGTCATATGTCTG